AGGGCAATTTTAACATAAGTTCCTTTGTTTACACAATATCTTGCTACACTTGAACTGTTACACAAACACATGCAAACTCCACCTTCTCCTTTCTCCATCTCTAACTCTAACTTACGCACATATTCATTTATTTGTAGAGTGAAATATGTTCCAACACTCACAGCAGAACCGGTGGAAATAAAAAGTAACAAGTAAAGTCAATAGACAAAACTAAAACCTAATTGAATTAGTGTTATGTGGTGTCTTCTCTTCTCTACTCATCTCTGTCATGGACAAGATACCTTGTTTTCACACGATTAACAACAGAATTCTACAAATGCATGAAAAGAACTTTTCACACTAACCTGCTGAATACAGTGTCATCATCATTACAGGCTTATGACTATTCATGAAAGGGTTTGCATGCAAATAAATCCATGCAGTGATTTCATATTCTCAATCATAGTTAACTGAAATTTCGAATGATATTGCATAACTGAAAGAAGAAATACAGAATGACAGTGATGATTGGCAACTATTGTTAGACATTATAGTAAACATGTGCCTCGGTGGTATAGCGGTTAGGACTCTCGCCGACCACGCACATAGTCCGGGGTCCAATCCCCGGCTGACACACTCCTTTACCTTGCTGCGCCAGAAACAATGCTGGTAAACAGGAAAGGTTGGGAATGAGGCTAGCAACCCCATCCTGTAAAAGTAAACACTGCTACAGAAACTTCAAGCCACTAGCTTGAAGCCCTATGTTCCACTGGGAACGTGGAGGAAAAAAGTAGTAAACATAGTCATCATGACAGTGGGATATGATGTGATTATGCTTGTTGATAGGACATATAATGAAATGCCAAATCTCTACAAAATTATGGTACTAATCAATAGTTATGCAAAGATAACAAGTCATAACACCAGGGATAAAAGTCAAATTGTCTATCATTTATGAGTTCTAGTGTTAGTCATAGAAACTTTGAATTCAGGAAGAACGAAACTTACAGTTTGTTTAATATGTTTTAAGGCTTATTTAACTCTCAATTTTCCAGTATTCTCAAGTTTCAAAAAACCATGTCTAGCTTCTGCAAATCGAGCTCAAATTATAGTACAGAGTTACGAGTTCAGTTTCCAAAACTAAGAGCTCAGTTTCTCACAAGTCCTATCATTATGAACTGACACCAGTTAGAGAACTACCCAGTGGGTGCGTACTGTGAAGAGTCCCAGACTAGGACGAAACAGCTGTCCACTACTCCCAGGTTTCGCAGTGATTCTCTAACTGATGTCAGCTCATGATGAAACGCTCCATGCAACATATAGATGTATTAATCTAGTAGTTTTCGTAAGTGCAGATTTGTAATGCTTTCAAACATCCATTTATCTAGTCATTGTTTCTACTCTGACGACTTTGATTTTCCATTTAATATTCACTATCTGGTAGAGACTACCTAGATTAAATTAGACCTCAACTCAAACAGTGCAAAGAAGTTTTATGCACTTTTATTTTTTTTAAATATTTTGATTACAGCTTGATTCCACACTGTATTTTTGATACAAGTATGAAATTTTCAGCATGTGATATCGGTAGCTCAAATTTTGCAGGCCGACCATAGATATCAGGTGTGCATCGGCAGGGTCGGCGAGAGTCCTAACCTCTGTGCCACCGACGCCACATGATGACATTCTTACTTACTCTTGAGCGTTTAAGTTTTGTGGATTTTACTATGAGAGTTTTAACCATTCACTATCTATCGATTCCTATATTAAGTTAGTTCTTCAAAATGTCACCATCAGGAAGATTAATAGAAGGGTTGTTTATTGAATCAAGATATGACAGTATTCTGTCAGCTGCCTTTGAAAATATCTATTCCTATGTTATCAGATAAGTAATTTCAGTTGACCTCCTGAAATAATCTGGCTAGACTGTTTTTCTCTCTTTCATACCCAGTTATGAAGAAGCTCTCCAATTGAAGTGAAGCTGTATCTGATCTCTTGACCTGGGTTGCAGTCAGTCTTTGTACCATTACATAAAATGCAACGCAAATATTCCGAGTTGAGATTGTCTGTTTATTTAACATTCAACTTCATAAATACTATTGTATGATTTAAATAATTTGAATTATGCCAAGTAGCATACATTTTACTTAATTTTTTGGGACTGAATCCTTTCAAAGGGCATTTAGTCATTTCATGCCTGGTAATAAATTCGTGACTTCCATGCATAGGCAAGGGGAGAGGGGGCTAATTATTATGTCACCTAAGGATGCAAGCATTTTACCAAAATATCAGGTAATCAGTAAGCTGTGAAAGTGTCATAGGGTGGGAAAGTAAAGTTAACCCAATACATCATTCTCCAGACTGTTGACAATTCATACATTTTTCATGCATTTATTCCCCTTGATAAACTTGAATGAAGCGAGAACAACATTGATTTGTGCAGAATAACATGGTACCATCATTTATTTCGTTGGCTTCTCGTCAGCTACTTACAGCCTAAATAAATTTTCAGGTTTAAGTACAGAAACGTGTTAACATACTTGCAAATTTTACATGTTGTCAGTTGACAGAAAGTTTCACAATTAGTAAACAGTGCTCAGAAAATTGCGCTTATATAGTTTTTACACCGGCAGTTCAAGTTAAAAAAAATAATAATAATAAATAAATGTATGCATATAATAAAGATGGGATGTGCGTTGGATGCATAGTGACTAATAAGTTAGGTAACAATGCACTGAGTTGAACTCAAATCATAGAAACAAGAGGCAAACAAAATTACAGATTATAAAAGGAGGGTGGGGTTAAAGACAAAGATTACACAATCAGATGAGAGATGCAAAGTGACTAATAAGTTAGGTAACAATGTACTGAGTTGAACTCAAATCATAGAAACAAGAGACAAGCAAAATTACAGAATATAAAAGAGGGTGAGGTTAAACACAAAGATTACGCAGTCATACATCATACATTTTTATATAATGCAGAACATTTGAGTTTTCGACATTCTTCATACTTTTCTGAGGTTTGTTTTGTGCTTCATTTTTCTTCTTTTTTTTAAATCTCTACCATTGCGTTTATCATCGAAATAAGTCAGTTTTGACATAAACCACTTTTAGCGTACTCTTAACTATTTTTAAAAAATTTAACTAGAAGCTGTAATTGATTGAGAAACTACTGCTTTATGCGTAAACCCCACTGTCCAAGCATTTTCATTGATTTCTCTAAAAAAAGTAATGTATGGCGTTTTGTTTTAAAGAAATGCATTAAATGTAAAAAAAGAGGAGGCTTGCTTCTGTTTTTCTTTTTGAGAGAGATAATGTGAAAAATTACGTTTGTACAGATATTCATTCAGTTTTCTGAACTAAGTCATTGATCTTTTTAAATTTCTCAGTAGTCTAATATTATATATATATATATATATATAGTAGGCCCTTTTTTTCTAACGAATAGACTGACTTTATATGACACATTTACTTGATTGATGGATTTGTAGTGATATCGTTTGATGAATTTTATGCGTGACTATTTGAAGATGAATTGTGCATAGATTTCAAAGTTATAAGCCTTTTAGCATATTAGGCATCCAATGATAAACACAACATTGATAGCTTCATATCTCAGAGTCGTATGGCGTTAACCAAAGTGAGATTTCGTTGTTGATCGATATGACTGGCACGAATTAAGGCGTCCACCTGTAAGCAGGATTATCTCTCCGAATAAGTTTCTTTTTTAATACCTAGCAGCAAAATAGGAAAGAGGCCCAAACGAGATTTCCCGCTGTACTTCACCAATCAATTGACTGTGCACACAGTTTTTATATGAAGCACCTGGACAGAGAGATGTTTTTTGAAAACAAAAGAACACAATAATAGGGCATATTTAGTATATCATTATGGCTAATTGATGATAAATGGAGGGAGAGGATAAGGGTGACTCGTCGTGCCATTGTTCTTTTTTATATGCAAAAAATGATGTAATACTTTAACTTTTTTTATCGGAATGCCATCTCGAATTCATTTACACGTCTACTTAGTTCACTGTTGTAGACCAGTCAATAAAGAGGCCCTGAGTTAGCGTATATTGAACTGATAAATCAGACATCTTAAATCTTGTCATAAATACTGGGTTTAATTATTTCGCATGAGTTTAAAAAGAATTCTACATCTTCATGTATAACCAAGCCTTCATAACTTTAGAGGTCAAATTATAGTTGACGTTTCTCCTCTTCCAGAACAAGGCATTAAATATACTGAATCTTGTGGGAGAATAATTTTTAAGAGGAAGTAGAGTCACACTTCAGCTAATTTAAGCATCTTTATTATATCAAATGTTGGGTGAGCTATTAGTAGTTTAACTAGCGATAACCCAATTGCCTGTGGTGTAAACCAATCCATAATGACTAACTTTGTGAGTGTGTCAGCTTCAACTGTCCCACCTTATTACAAAATTCTCTACTGACAATTAACTCATTTCAGTTAATGATACTGAAGGTACTTGATCAAAAAGGCTTTGAAAGAGAATTCATTTCATTACCTTCTTTCGCTTTCGAATCAAATATATATACACACATTTTGTCAACTGTGCTGATTCAGTTAACTAAAGTACCACAAATTCACGAATTTATATATAGTGTCAGTGTAAAACAAAATAAGTTTCTTTGTATACCCATTTCTGTTTGCCATATAATTATCGCAACAAATAACAAGCAGCTGTTCTTATAAACATTTGTATTATGATCTTTTCAATGGCCCAGCCAAACCATCAACTCTAAGTACTACGGTGTCGTGTTATTAATTGTGCAGATGCACAGGAAATATCCGTAAAATAGTCACAATACCTTCACAAGAATAGACTAGGTAAAATAGCTGTTTTGCAAACATTGAGATCTACAAATCGCATATTTCTGTCTTACTTTCATAATTTACGGGTATTCTCGACAAATATTTTCTCTCAAATATTAGTTTTGTAGGGATTTTGTTCGATTGGTTGGAGGGGTTGATCATGAGCTGATATCACTTAGAGAACCATTGGAAAACCTGGGAGTATTAGACAGCTGTTTCGTCATAGATTTTTGGACTCTTCATCAGTACGCACCCACCAAGGATCAAACTTAGGACCTTCTGGTTACAAGGCGAGCTCGTATACCATTAAGCCACTTGGACCCAGTGGCCGAGGTTTTCCAATGGTTCTCTAACAAATGATTTTTATTCATCCTTTTGAGTTCTGCGTGAAACATAGGGGTTCAAGTTTCAGCCTTGAAGTTTCAGTAACGGTGGTGATGGTTGCTAGTCTCAAGCTCAAACTTCCCTCTTTATCGGGTTTACTGTTGACTGAGAGAGGCTCAGCAGTGTGTGTTGATAAGTTTTCGGATCTATACTACGAAAGTGGTTGACGAGCATTCTACTACTGAAGCATCGACCAAGTTTGTAACACAAAATACTAAGCGCTAAACAATATCTTAAACTATGCCTAATTTTAAGCGGTGCTACATTGACTGGTGTATGATGTTTTTCATGTAAGCGTAAGAAAAGTATATCCAACCTTTCAAGTGCTTACTTTACTGATAATCTTTCACTTTCTCATCTTCAGGTTTTTACCAAATATTTTGAGTTATTATCATCAAACACAAAGCTGTTGACAGAAGTACCAAAGAGATTTGCTTTCATTTAGCTTATTATAAATCCTGTGAAAGTTATTCTAACACTCCGCTAGTAGTAATGTGCAATTAGTGCTTGTGAAAACATTATTTCTTCTTTCATAATCAAAATCAATTAAACGAATCAACGAACCCACACATACATACAATTTTATCACTGAAGCACAATTCTAAAAAATAAAACAACAAATATGAATGACAAAATACTTTCACATATAGTAAATCCGCTTTTTGCTTGCTTCTCCTTTTTCTCAAAATTTGTAGAGTGACTCAGTTGGTCCAAGTCCTCTGGCCCTGTTGGCTCGTACATGTCAAAATATTGGTAATATTATGGATTGTGGAGTTATTTCCAACAGATTTATTTCGCCTACATCAAGTACAGCCCGTAAACAGTCAAATATTTGTCCTTTGCAGTCCACAAATAGTAAAACTATCAATAACAATATATCTAAGTCAAATAAATCCAAAGCATCTATGCCGAATGAAATTAATTCAGTGTCATTCAGTAGGCGAAATGTACCATCCAAATACTTCTCCGTTAGCGAAATTTCAAAGGTGAATACAATGTCTAATTTTGGAGGAAGCGATCCACAGAACTCTATCTTAAATGCTGCTGTCAAAGCATCCCGTGTTACTGATTCAACAGTAAAACCTCCAACATCACATCAGAATACCAATAGACAGTCATCTCCTATTTGTGTGCCATCCAGTTTGTTCCCCCAGGTGAATACAGTAAAAATGGACTCTTCGATAACATTTAACAATAATTTTTTAAAGTCTGATGATATACATCAAACATCGAATGCTCTTGCTCAATTGGCCAGACTATCTTCCAGTTTCTCATTACCTGAAAATCCTAAATTAAGCTTTACAAATTTAAAAAGTTCTACTAATCTTTCAGATAACAGAAACCAATGGATTGATACAAATAATAGTAATAATAGTAGTCATACACAATATGACCTACAGTCATTAAAACGAACGAAACGACGTGCTAATTCTAATTCTAAATATCCTTCCACACCTGAAGAGAGTACCTCACCGAATTCAGCGAAAAGATATATGAAGGATGATGGTTATCCATCCTTTTGGAACCCTGTAAATTCCTATCCAAATAATCGAGATTCTGATCATTTACAGAGCGAACTGGAAAATCCTCTTGGTATCAGCATTTCACCAAATATGACAACTAATGTTATGAATAATCCATCACAGTCAGCAAACTGGGCTAATATTTTCAAATACAATGAACAATTACTTGCATACAAAGAAACTTCAAATATTATGCATAACAAAGATACACAAGAGAAATTTTCTTATCATCTAGCTCGTAGTTTCTTAGACTTTTTTTACGGAAAGCTAGCCAACTCCATGAATTCTGAATCGAACAACTTTTCTACTACCAAGCATAATCCACTTTATAAAGAAAATGATCAAAAGACAACAAATCATTCCTTTTCAGAAAATGAACGTAGACCAATGGATTGGTTAGCTAATGCCGATTTACTGAATAGACAACAAACAAGTATACCAGTTAATCCGTCAGTACATCATTCTTCATCAGCATCTTCTAATTCATTTCCTTGTTTATTATGTGGTCAGGCTTTTCACAGTAATGCTGACTTATGCGCTCATGTATATACACATTTACTAACATTCCATGAAACAAAAAAATCAAATAATTCAGAGCCTGTTCTAAAACTTTTGCACTCTGAGTCAACCCAACTTCGAAATAGGCAGAATGGTGTATTCAGTGAACAAAGAAATAGTGATGTACGTACACCTTTCTTTTTGCCACCACCACCAATTCTACCTCCACCGCCTTTATCTGTTGTGACTACTAGTGCCCCTGGTATCCCGTCAACCTGTTCTATGAATTATAATGTCGCACAATCTTTCTCAACAACTGATCCATCAAACCATTCATCTAGTCCTTCAGATTCAATGTATTTGTTTCAGTCTTATTTATCTCAATGGCTTGCTCATTTCACTAACTCCAGTTCAAACTATCAACCCAATGATACAACAAATTATAACCCAATGACAAATACATCTTGGACATCAGACACAGTAGTAACGAACAAGTCAAGTGAGTATGAAAATTGGCAGGGCATTTTAACTGCTTATCTGCATTCTTTAAAAGAATCTGCATCATTTTCAACAACTTCAGCATCAGAAATGCAGTTACCGTCAACAGGTGCAACAATAAACACTGCCTCTCCGCTAACACTTCCTTTACCGCACTCACTCCATAGGACTGAAAATCCCAGTTATTATGATGTCCTATTTGGCTCAAAGTCCTACATAACACCTTTTCCACAAAGTTAGCGCCACTTCATTTTTGTATACGCTATAAGTACACCAACATTCACATCTATACTTCTCAATTTATTCATTTCAAAATATCTCTTCTTTATTATCTTTGTTTTATTTCTAAAAGTTAGCTTTATTGCCGTAAGTGATAAATAAACATTGAGTGAAAATGATTAGAGAGAGAGAGAGAGGTTGCAAGTCAACTTATACCAACAATCTGTGATTTTGTTTCCAGGAGAAAGTTGTACCTATTCATAACAATTTAATGTGAATAATTCTTATCATAATAAAAACAATATTATTAAAAATAAAAATAATTAGCACTTACAGAACAAACAGACTGTGCAAAATAATGAATCATAATCATGTACACAATTTTAAATTTATTAACTTATTTTCAAAATAAATCTTTATTACCTGTAAGTGAACTTCTAAATGTCTTTTTTCAAAAAAAAAAAACATTTCAGGGGCTCAGAATGTTGCATTTTTCCTACGTAACTGTCCGATCTCTCGTAGGTGGAACAGGGATTAAATGTTAGTTCTGTATCGGCTGGCCAGATTATCTTGGAGTTCATAAATCAAGACGAAGTTCTTATAAACCTGTTTAATACACTAGAAACTACATACTACAACTTTATTAGTAAAAGAGGAAAACGGAACAGAAGTGATGAAACTTCTTTATCAAGTCGAAATACGTACATTCAATTATTTTTATTTATTTTATTCTTTTACGCCTCGACTGAAATACAGGAGTTCAAGATACAGTTTTGAAATTTCATTAGGAGTGGTTTTATTTCTATGGAGTAGGATTGCTAGCTTCACGACCAACCTTACATTTAAAGTGGCCATGCTACTGGCTTAGTGAGGTTTAGCAGCACGTTGGCCGAGGATCGCCTGTGTGGTTAGTGAACGTTCTACTACTGAGCCACCAACGCACCGCACATCCAATGGAATCAAGAGAAAATACATTAACATGACTTACAACTAGCTGTAACCCTTCAGACTTTTTATTTAAGACGGATCAGTTCATTAGCCTACTTAGTAGTGACCACTCTTAAGCTTATTTTCCTAATTCGATTATTAAATAATTTTTAAGGGATTATGTTGGTTTTGATAGTAACGTGTTCAAACAGACGAACATATATATATATATACTACTATTCCACAGGAAGAGTCATGCTTTACCAAGTTTTTAAATGCACACATTACAGAATATTACTGTCTTCATTGCATCACAACGATATAAGTATACACATTGTTGTTATGCGTATTTCACAACAGAAATAAAACTATCACTATTTCTGCCGTCTGGTATGTTTTTTTTTCTGCTTTATTATTACCCTTTTTCAGAAAGATTAGTTTATGTGTTGTTACATGTAAAGCGATGGTTAGTTTTCCGGATATCAAAAAAATTGTGCGTGTTCATTCAGGGTTGGAAATATCTGTCAGAATTGTCACTCAGAGAATCAACATAATGGGATGATTTTCACTAGTACATACACACAATTGTATAGAAGCGAAATCAAAGATTCTAAAATAGCCAAATCGAGACTAATGCATGGAAATTCATATCAGAGAATAGAATCTTTCTTTAAAACATGTTTTACAGTTGAATACAGGTCAGAAATTTTTATAGTTACTGATTAGTGTTTGTCATCAACTTGATCAGAAAATTATTGTAATGAGCCTTCTCACAATCACCTTCGTCATCCTCATCGTTATAACTATCACCACTAACACCACTGTCCTGATTGTAGTAATAAGTGTAAATATTCATCGTCAAACAAAACCGAGTGATGATGGGCCAAGCTAATGCTGATTATCAAATTGTTGTGTATCTTTAGGTGTTTGTATGATTGCCTGATTGAATCCGTGTGTAGGCCAATTTCTTTATCTAGTTTTCATCTTTTCTTTTCTGCTCTCTATCTTTTATTACTGTAAGTGAACATTTCAATGTACAAATTTGTTTATCAACGGTGATTATAATCATGGTTGTAGATGACATCACTTCTATGAAACAGAACGCATACACACACACCCAGACAAACAAACAACCACATAAAAAATCCTACTTTTGACATTTTTGTTGATTTAATCAGGAATTAATGATGACTATTTTGACAGAAAGACAAGCAGCAGACAGAATTTGACTTGAACTGAAGGCTGAATGAGTGTATGAGACAATGGTAGATTAGTTTTCAACAAGCCTACTCACAAGCATACACACATACACGAACACGACATTAGACATTTTGTGTGTTTATTACCACTCTATGATGAGTGAATTCCACTGCACTAGATATTAAGTTAAGAAAATCAGAAAAAAATTATTTCTACTGATAATTTTAATCACTGACAGTTTGATGGGTTCATGCATCAATGCGTATAAATACTAATCCGAGTGATTATGTGTGCGTGTAAGGGCTTGTCTGCATGCATGCCTGTGAGATTCGTAGGTCATCACTATTTTGAGGGTAGCTATCAAGTGACAAAATGACAAAAAGCGACATTTTATTGTATGCTAAGAGATTTGATAACAGTGGTCACAAATGACGATGAATGCAAAATGCTTAATGTAACAAGGATATATCCATATATATTCAGCTAGAGATCTGAGAAAATGCATTAACATCACGAACCGAGTAACCATAGTTATTCTACAGATGGAACAAAGGTAATAAATGCCCTAGAATGTTGACTGAATCTTAATTTTTTGACTTCAAATTTTGTGCGCTTTTAGTATATGTGTATAAAAGGAAAATGTGAATATAAACAGATTGGTCCTCTCTGCCCGAATTGGAATGCTACTGCATAAACTCATCGAAGCTACGTCTGTCTTGGAAGAAGTCATATGGCTGAAATTAATTTCTTCCAAAAATACATGTATTCAGTCTACTTACCGACGAATCATTTGTGTGTTTAGATTCACTGACTTCAAAGGTCATCAGAAACATGTTAGTATGACATCGGTAAACTCATCAGAGGAAAACGATTAACAGAATTCCCGTATTTTGAACTTACTCGATTTTAGCTGAGAAGATTTGTACATGGAGTTTTTCTTGAACCTATGGCACTGTACTCGTGTTGTTTGAACTATGAAAATAAATGAAGTAAATTCAAGATTACTAGAACAAGACAAACTGAATCAAATGACAGTAAGTTTTATAAGTTTCCAGACCGTAGGTATTACGAACTTCCTGGAATAATTTGAGCGATGAGTCAGATTGATTCATTATAAATTATTTAAATAGTTCCCAGCGTGTTAAGTAAATCAAAACAAGATTTTTCTGAACATTTCGCTGTGTAAGCCACAGATTCTTCAGCGGATTTAGTCAGATTTAAATCATTTATAATGAGACTAAGTTTTCTTCAGAGGAAGTCTCAGCATATATAATAATTCATCGTTCTTTTGCTTCACGTCAGTTCACTTTAAACAATTCGATGTATGTCGTAGATCCTATTTGTCTGGATAAGTAGATGCGAAAAAAAACTCATCAGAAGAAGTTTAACTTTTAAACAAGTTTAAAAGTTAGCTGAACGAGGGACGATGTGTGTTTCCATAAATTTCACATCTACTGATGCGTCATTATTTGATTCGTATACTTCAGATAAATTGTCTTGCATTTTACAACACTTCTATTCTCTTATCCATCAAAAATGTTTGTTCGTTTGACACTTATTTCTTAACTTTGTTATTAATTTATTCATTACTATATTCAAACGGGAATGTGAAATTTTGGTCGTCAGCCTCACGATTATCTTCTTCTCTTTTCTCTATTTTCCTCAGATGCTTAAAAATTTAGTTATGCTGCATTTTTATTATCCGGAGACAGCCGTCAATGCTTTACCTCATCCAACTGCTTTGAAACGCACAAACAATTACTCTGCAAAACATGCTCACACTGAAATTAATGGCCTTGATGCCTGCTATTTAAAATATCTAAACGTGTGTACTACACTGTAAACTGGTCTCGAAAACTGACTGCTCATGCTGTATTCCCTAACGTTTCAGATGAATTTTGTTTACTGGAATAACTGGTTTACAGTCCTGATTTGAATTAGCAAGCTGCATTAAGTCAGCACAGAGTGATTTTAACATTGTAGAAGATATAAAGCATGAAGAGTAGTCTGCCAAACAGAGCTACCTACTTACACGGAAGATGAATTCATGCACATTGCTTAAACCTGAAGCTATCTACCGATCACTTTGTAACTAGCTCTTAAATGGACGCGTCAATCGGCTGCACACCTGCTATCTCATGATTCAGCTGTTCATATAAATTTTATTTGCATATGCTGTTTTTTTCCTGATCGTTAAGTTTACTGTTGACGCATCTTTAGATAAGGTTATCAATGTAGCCAATGTACCACTTATTTTTAAGCAAACTCATTTAATTTGATTGAGCACTTCAGTCTGTCCATCCATGAGGTATTGATCTCTTCTACTTCTAGACTGATAAACATCGTAAGTAGAGAAACTAGGACTAGACAATTAGTGCATCTCCCTCCCTCCCTCCCTCTCGCCGTGTCTCTCGTTCGCCCTTCAGTGTCAAGACGAAAATAACAATAGTTAAATGCATCCAACTTGAACAAAATATGACGTGTACAGTGTCAGATAAAGAATTTTCCACCACTTTTTTTCTTTCCGTTTGTTACTATTTTGTTTGTGTAAGTATATGAATCTCTTTTTATCATCAGTTTTCTTTGTATAAAATGACAGGCAACTTATTAGTAAATAGAGGGATATTAGAATTGACATCAGTCTTGTGGAATGCATATATTTACCCGAGTAACTAAATGTCCAAAAGCTTTTGCTGCTGAAATAAACAATGAGAAATAAAGTGAAAATTAAACTGGCATACGGCAAACGTAAAATACACTATATGCATTCAAGTGTGTATGCATATCTAAGCATGTAAACATACGCTTATTTATGTCCTTACTAATTATGACAAGAATTTGAAAATATGGCAAAATGTAGTAAGATAACAACTGTTTAATTCAATGTGATCAGTAGATGTACAACATACTGAAATAGTCAGACAGCACTGTGAGGCGTACAAGTTAAACAGATAAGGCAATACAGAATAAGGCATACTTATCTACTTCATTTAAATAAATGATTAAAAAAATTTCTGATACACTTCAAAATGATACACCGAAAAGAAGTAATAAACTCGTATCAACTACTAGATGGTTATAAATTATGTTGTTTTCCAGAATTATCCTATCGCCCGCCACACAGCTGCATTTCAAGCTGTTTATAAAACCAAAATGAAGAAGTAGAAGGAATCGACGCAAACATAAATCAAAGTGAAAATTCTAATCACAATAAAATTTTGTTAAAATACAGCTTTTTTATGCTAGTCATTAATAATTCAGATATGAATAACAGTATTTGGCTAGTTAACGTGAGATTTGACTAATGATCAAGCTAGATTATATCACTTACTGGTATCAGATGAAGAGGCAATCGAAAAGAGAGACAGAGTACTTACTGGGCGGCTGTTTTTTTCTATTTCGGGATTCTTCAGTGGTTCTCACCTATGGTCTCATTAAGAATCCAGCCGATTATCTTCACTTCGCAGAAAGATCAATTGACTATTTACCCAAGGTTATAAACCGTGACGGGCAAATGCAATTCACTGGTACACTGTATATAAGAGAAATGAATCTAGGTAAAAACAGCTCACGGAAATGAAGAAGTTTTAATAGAATTTCCTATACTAGATACAACTCTTATGCAGTTCTTGTGTCAGCTATGGTGAAAATGAATATGCATTCATGTAATAGAATGATGTAGCTGGATTAAGACATTATGAAACATCAAAACTATTTGAACAAGTTTCAAAGGAGGGAAATAAATATTTAAATAAATCATTTATGATAACTAAAATCTTTACAATGATGAAGATTAATTCACATTATTTACATCTTCCGGTGAAAGTAAACTAAGGTGTTATGAGCCTTAGAATAGTATAAGGCTCTATAGATTGATGAAACGTCAGATTTAGTCGTAAATATTACCCAACCAAAAAGCTACTGCTACTGATATCATTTTATGGATGGTGGCTAACAGTAGAATCTAGGATGCTCATTTCTTCCTTGGGTACTCATCAACCGAATGCACGTACATCATATTGATCACTAGAGTTCACGCATGAGCTTTTACTAGACAACCAGAGCCCCGAAAGTGACTAAGTGCTCTGGTGGATAATACCTGGGTGTTTGATGCAGTGAGTTTTGTGCTCCCGTCTCAGTCAGAACATAGTCACTAACCATGATGTGGACACATTCATCTCAGGAATCTCGAATAAGACAGAATGCGCGTCAATCGACTGACTCCGTTAATTAAATAAAATGTCTGACTTAAACGCACCACTCGAAGCCAAAATGTCATCAGAGGTCGACCGTTCCCGTCTGTTAGAAATAAACAGCTGGAAGTTCAAAATGCTAATAAATTTTGTTAGCATGTATATCTGCATCACTGCAAAATATTAACAAAACTGATGACCTTAATAACCTGGTTTTATTTCCTTTGTGAACTTAATAATTACCAATAATAGTTGACGATAGTCAAAAGTCAATTTGATCAAGCTTTCAACTTAGATCTGAATCATAATACTGCTATCTGAACTTCTGTTTTTTAATAACTGTCATAAATCCTGAAGCGAATGTAGGCAAACATTGTTTAATAGATATTACATGTGTGATGCCTATAAACCTACTTATTTCTTCAAGAGAATTTTAGCAGGAGATGAATTCGATAATTTTGCTTGAATTCATGAAAAGAAAGTTTAAATCCATCCCAAAGACGGATGACAGTTTAAATAGGTTTAACCTTTCGTATTGATTTGTTAAACCTAGAGACTGTACAGGCTTCAGCGGCACATATACTACAACTGGAACGATAAAGAGAAAATTAGCATGCTGCGAACCCACTGATGACACAGAAAATCGTCAGGCATTCCTAATTTTTACCCAGAAAATAATACTGTTTCACTATGGGGTCTGTATAATAAAACAAAGTGATAAGGTATCGCTTACTACTAAGTTTACTCTTCTTAACAAACTCATACTGCTTATTCATCGAACGATTATGAATTACTTGATTACTCTGACAGTATGAGAAACAGATATCTGAAAACAGTTAAACGTCGTTGTTATTTTTAATCCACTGTCATTACTTGACTAACTTTTAAATAAAAAAAGAGGCGAACATGTGAAGACTAGTCAACAGTTGTTAATTATGCCGACTGATTGTTTCATTCCACATTGTTGAACATTAATTTCCATGTTTCGGGTATGAATTGTGAGAAAAGCAAAGGGGAAATGTATAGTTATGCCGGGCCGTGCCTAATCACTATTTACACATAATGATGATAAATAATAAAGAAATTACACGAATTTTTTTTAAGCGAAAGCTAGAGTTTATTCATCAAATCTATTCAGCATCCGAATGTAAATTTCGTACTAAGCGTATTAACGAGAGATTTCTAGACAAATATGAAGTTATCTAATGGTTACAAATTTCGCTGCAGAGAATAAAGAACAGAAATATTATTTGTTCAAGTCACATATACATAAATTATTCTTAAAGTTAGCATGATATTTCAACAACCAGTCTTAGTTGCATTTAGCAGAAAAGAGGATACACACATTGTGAAAATGAAATAAACTTCCAAGATATCCAAACAGAAAATAGATACCTGCCCGAAGAATGAAAACATTACTGAATGTTGTCCCTGAAGTTATCACAAAACACATCATACTTTCATAAAAAGCACCTGCAAGCAAATGTAACTACCACTGGTTGGGACAGTCAAACAAAAGTGGTGGATCTTGAAGCTAAAGTGACATCTGTGATACCGGTATTTGACAATAGATTTAAAAAATACAAATAGTATTGGACGTGCATGAATCTGTCATAACACTATGATTACTACTAATTTACTTAGCCCCAAAATTGAGCTTCCAAAAATTAAGCATTTCAGAAGATTCCGACGGGCACTTCTGAGAAACTGAGGCAAGTGTAGACTGTGTCATCTACTGAATAAGGTGTAATTAAAAGTCACTGGTTTTTAGTTTATCTCATTATGGCCGTGTAAAGTCACTGGTTTGAATCCTATATCATTGGCGTTAAAGGAGTCATGGATAAAATGATAATTTTTCCTTCAAGTTCCCAATGGAACATAGGGCTTCAAGCTAGTGGCTTGAAGTTTCTATAGCAGTGTTTATTTTACAGGATGGACTTGCTAGCCTCATGCCCAATCTTTCCTCTTTACCAGCACTTTTTTGTGGTTTAGCGAGGTAAAGGAGTGCGTCGACCGGGGATTAAACCTCGGACCGACCATGTGCATGGTTGGCGAACGTCCTAACCGTTGTGCCATCAACGCACAATTCATGGATAACAGTTCAAAATATGTCTTCAGTTTTCGAAGTTGGCGGATATCGAAGCACTGATTAGGATAGCCAAAATGGTGTAACAGTAGTCAAATGGAAGGCTACCTCATATTCTACTTCTAGAAATAATTTTTCAAAAATTACTTCTAATTTGAATTAGAAGTGTGCGCTTTACCTTCGGCATATTGTAATACAGACAAATCAACAGATTCACTATGAATTAACCTATGGGCTTAATTTTAGCATCATTCTTTCTTGGTAAGCTAGCGAATATTCTGACAGTGGTAGTCGACTGTTGCTCTGTGATATTTAATTGGCAGGACTTTGACTGAACCTGTAATGAAAGGCTAGACCTTTGAAACCATGCGATAAATATGCTACCAGTAATATAAAAATAGAGAAACAAAATGCTAAAGCCGAATCGATAAAGCCATTCAGCTGAAAGTGATTACTTACGACTTTGAAATCTAGTGTCCAGTATTCAGTGTCACATTGCGTAAAACACTTGAACTCATTTATTCTGAGTGCTAATTTAGCAATTTTGCATATATGTTACAACGAAAGTCACCTTAATTACCTGGGATCATTAGAGCAATTTATGAATTATCGCATTATGAAACTCTTTTAGCATATGATTAGTATTTTTCTTCGGTAGTAC